CTCTCTAGGTCCAGACAACAAGTAACTCAACGGAAGAGCAGAGGTTAGATCAGAGCTGCAAACGGCTGCCTGGGAGACAGGGTCTCCGGTAGCCCAGGCTAGCCTGAAACTCTCATTTATTTATTTATATTTTTTATCTTTTACTTTTTGGCTGTGAGTCTCTATATATAACCAAGGATAACCGTGAACTCGTGATCCCCCTGCCTCTTCCTCGCAGGTGCTAGGATTACGGGCCCTCACCAACATACCTGGTTTTATGCAATGCTAGGGTCTGAACCCAGGGCTTCACACCTGTGAGGCATTCAGTCTACCTTTTCAGTTTTGTGAGGCAGAGTCTCCTCTCACAGACTGACCTCCAAGTTACAGCCATCCTCCTGCTTCCACCTCCCAAGTACTGGATTATGGACTGGAAAGACAGCTCAGAGGGTAAAGGGACTTGTCACCAAGTTTGAGTCCGAGGATCCACTTGGTGAAGGGAGAACACTGGCTCCCTACGTGGGGACTATGGGTGCATGGCGCCAAATCTGGTTATGACCAACTCTATCTATCTATCATCTATTTATCCAGCTATGGTTTTTCAAGACAAGGTTTCTGCATAGCCCTGGCTGTCCTGGAACCTGCTCTGTGGACTAGGCTGGTCTCAAACTCACAGACATCTGCCTGCCCCTGGCTCCTGAGTGCTGGGATTAGAGGTGTGTGCCACCACCACCACCACCACACACACACACACCACCACCACACACACCACCACCACCACACACACCACCACCACCACACACACCACCACCACCACACACACACCACCACCACCACACACACCACCACCACCACACACACACACCAGCACCACCACACACACACACCACCACCACCACCACCACACACCACCTGGCAACTTCTACTTTCATGCCATGGCCACATATACAACTTTATGTACCTATATAAAAGCTGTGAACCACAGGTGACATTTGTGCTTCTGAGACTGACTCACTTGCCCACTCTGTGGGTTTCCAGTTACATCTGTTTTCCAGAAAACGACACAACTCCGTTTCTTCATGGCTGGAAACAGATTCATGGTGGGCTGGGAGGTGGCGGAGTTGGTAGAGCGAGCGCCTGCCTCACATGCATCCTGAAGCCCTGGGTCCGGTGCTCAACAAAGCGTAAACTAGGCATGTTATGTATACTTTTGACCCCAGCACTCCGCAGGTGTAGGCAGAGGGATTGGTAGCTTAAGGTCAGGGATGAAGATCCCTATTACATCCCTATTACATCATTCTTGACAAGATTATGTGCCAAGATTTTTTGTTTGACTGTTTTTTTGTTTTGTTAGTTTATTTGTTTTTTGTTTTTTTAAGACAGGGTTTCTCTGTGTATCTTTGAGCCTTTCCTGGAACTCACTTTGTAGCCCAGGCTGGCCTCGAACTCACAGAGATCCGCCTGGCTCTGTCTCCCGAGTGCTGGGATTAAAGGCGTGCGCCACCACTGCCCGGCTGACTGTTTTTGCTTTTAACGTGGGTCCTGAGGACCAAGTCAGGCCTTGCACAGCAAGCTCTTTTCTGACTGAGCCACCTTCCTGCCCTGCTTTCTCCCATTCCCCCCTCCCCAGAGATTCCCATTCCCCCCCTCCCCAGAGATTCCCTGCCTCTGCCTCCCGAGTGCCGGGATTAAAGGTGTTCGCCATCACACCTGGCTGCTTTCTCTCATTTTTAAAGACTCTCAGGGCTGGAGGATGGCTCAATGGTTAAGAGCACTGGTTGCTCTTCCACAGGACTGGAGTTAGAGTCCCAGCCCCTACACACTGGCTCACAATGGATCTAACTCCAGTCCCAGGGGCTCTGACATCCTCTTCTGATGTCACAGGCATGTGCAAGGTGCACAGACATACACGCAGGCATGACACAAGTATGTATAAAATAAAAATAAATAGTGAATCTTTAAAAAGAAGCCTCTTGTAAAAATATGACTGGCATCTGGGAAGTGCTTGATAAAGATCAACTATTAGAGCCTTCACATCTCAGTTTTTCACCTTTGAAATGTATTCATGTACCCCCCAACACACCACACACACACACACACACACACACACACACACACTCATGCACACATCCCCACAGGCACACACACACACACACACACACACACACACACACACACACACACCCCACAGGAGCACACACACACATATGCACTATACACATTCATACTCATCCCCTATCCCCACTCACACACACCCCCACTCACAACTAACCCATCCTTCCCTCCAACACCCCCCCATCCACATACATCACCCTCAAAAACACACCAAGTGGGGTTGGGGATTAGGCTCAGTGGTAGAACGCCTGCCTAGCAAGCACAAGGCCCTGGGTTCGGTCCTCAGCTCCGGGGAAAAAAACCAAACACACACACACACAAAACAAAAACAAAAACAAAAACAAAAACAAAACAAAACAAAAAAACACACTGAGAAGCATTTCATGACAGTAACAGTAGAAGGGGAACCAATCACAGATCCTTCTGAAACTACAACCCATGAGGCCAACGCCCCTGCAGTTAGCACTGTCCTGTGCCCAGGTCACAGGCTGAGAGCCAGTAAAGGCATCTTCCTCTGCCACATCACCTGTGTGTGTTCTCTGCTTCTAACTGATTCCAGGACCTGGGAATCCCATCTGACTCCTAAGGGGCTTCTCTAATGCATTCAGGAGAACATGAGACCCCGAGTCAGCTCTGAAATCAAAGGCTGGACAAACCTTGGATGAATTAGAACTGTTAGGAAGTTCTCCAGTCCCTGCTTTCATAGTTCCTCAAGAGTACAGTGAAGTCAGTGATGTTTGCCATTGAGGAATAGGGTTGGAGAGGCAGGGCAGGGGCCAGAACCCGTTGGCAGGAGCTGCGGCTGCTCACAGGCTTGCTCTCCGTGGCCTGCTCTCCGTGGCCTGCTCTCCGTGGCCTGCTCTCCGTGGCTTGCTCAGCCTGCTTTCTTTTACCATCCAAGGCCACCTGCCCAGGTAAGCACCGCCCCCAAGTGGGCCCAGCCCTCTCACATCAATTATTAACTAAGTAAATGCACTGGAGGCTTCCTCACAGACCAAGCTGGCAGAGGCATTTTCTCAGTTGAGGTTCCCTCTTCCCAAATAGCTCCAGCTTGTGTCAAGTTGACATAAAACTAGAAACCACAGTTGATGAATTCCAAGTTTAGAGAGAGACCCTATCTCAAAGAGCAAGATGGATGCCCGGGCATGGTGGCTCACACCTACGATCCCAGTACTTCGGAGGCAGAGGCAGGCGGATCTCTGGGAATCTGAGGCCAGCCTGGTCTACAGAGTGAGTTCCAGGTCAGCCAGGGCTACATAGCGAGACTGTCTCAAAATAACAACAACAATAATGTGGAGAAGTGACGGAGGAACACACCAGATGTCATCCTCTGGTCTACACGTGTGCATACTGTCCCCAATCCCACTCTGTGCATACGCTCAAGTGCGTGCAAGAACACTTGCACTCACACATACACACACACACACACATACACACACACAACCTCAGATCCTGAACAGGGCCGGAAAACCTTTTTTTTTTCCTTTACCAGAAAAGGTTTTAAATAAAAACTGTACTATATATATGTATATATAATATACATACATACATACATACGTGTGTGTGTTTGTCATGTACCTCATGCATGTCTGGTGCCCTAGAAGCCAGAAGAGTGCATCAGATCCTCAGAACTGGAGTTACAAATGTTTGTGAACCATTGTGTGGGTGCTGGGACTCAAACCTGAGTCCTGTACAAAAGCAGCAAGTGCTCCAACCCTTTGAGCCGTCTCTCCCCATGTGAAGTATCTTTATATCACATTTTATTTATGATGTATTTGTGTGTGTGTGTGTGTATGTGTATGTGTGTGTGTGTGTGTGTGTGTGTGTGCCAGAGGACAACTTTCGGGAGTTGGTTCTCTCTTTCCACCATGTGGGTCCTGGGGTTTGAACTCAGGTCATCAGCTTGGCAGCAGGCTCCTTTATCTACAGAGCCAGCTCTCAGCCCCAATCTTATTATTTTTATATTTTTGCCCACCAGCCTCAGCTAAAAGGAAAGAAGGGTGCAGTTTCGATTTGCACAAGAATGGTGTTTGCCCAAAGCTCAGGAAAAGATCATGGGTGCAAGCAGAGGAGGGGGAAAAAATCAATCAATCATTCCTTTCTTGATGGCTATTTTAAATATTTAGCTGAAATTGTCCTCATCTGTGTGTAGCTGTTTTCTCTGCAAACAGCCCTAACCCCGGTGCTCACACACAATGCGGGAGGCGGGCCCCAGCTGCGGGCCCCCTCTTGTGTTTTTAATTTAAAGCTTCTCCTAGATCATTCACACAAACACGGACAGAAATCCGCAACTTGTGAGTTGAGAAAGCAGTAGTTTTGACTCATAAAATCCTTTGATAGTTTAGCCATCTGGTCAGAGTGGAGCTTCGCATAAAAGAGGTCCGAGTGAGGTCAAAGGGCCCCCTCTCCGAGGGTCAAGGGGCCCGGGCAGAGTTTGCTCCAGTGGACTGGGCTAAAAGGATGCCTGACAAATTATTGCACATTCCATAGCTTTTTGCGTAAGTATTTGATTACAGTGCGCGGGAATGTTGTTGATATTTCTAACCTGGGTGGGGGAGGGGCGGGAGGCAGGGCTGCGTCCCCAGCGCGTTCTGTCTGTCTTTGCGGGATGTGTGTGTGCTTCAGGCCCTCGCCCCAGTGGCCTTGTCCGGGATCTGTCCTGTGGCTGGCTTGGCAAGGGGACCCAGAGAGAGCTGCCTGAGCTCCCACAGACGGGAGCCCACAGCTTAGCCTGGAGTGTTCCAGAAAATTCTTGCTGCTGTTTTTCTGGCCGATAGTAAAATACGCAACGGCAGTGTTGTTTCCTGTGTGAATGTCAACAGAGCCACGCATATTTATGGCTGTATTTCTCAAAGGGGATCTGGGACAGACAGGGATTTGAGGTGATTGAGTGTCATTTTCTTTTCCAGGCTTGAGCCAAAGCTCTGGAGGGAGCCACTTGATTTTACGGGGTCTTGGATAAGGAATGGTACAGTAGCTGAGGTGAGTAACAGGTCTTTGGATGGCTTTCGTCCATCAGTGGGCTGTTCCATGAAGAGCTAAAGAGACACTGTCTCGCTGGAAATCTTTGAGAATGATCTGTGGACACTCTGGTATAGCATAAGAAGGGTCCATTTGTTATGGTGACATCAATGTACCCAGGAAAGCTTTGTGATACTTCCCAGTAGCTTTCGGACAAGGAGAAAGCAGAGGTGGAAACCAATGCGTCCCCACTGGCCCAAGAGGAAGAACTTCACGGCTGATACCTTCTCCAGCAGTTGGGGATTCCCTGTGGTGGCAGATCCAGGCTGTGGGGACTCCAGGACTCACGTACAAAGTGGGGCAGTTGCCATCCTAACATCCAGGATGCAGAAACAGGGTCCCCGAGGCAAGCTGGCCAGCCTGACTATGGGTGACTAGCCCCAGGTTCAGTGACAGATCTTGCTTCAGTGAATAAAGTGAAGACTGATGACGACACCCATCAACTTCTGCCTCTACACACGCCTGAACATAGGCAAACATACGCACGCACGCGTACACACACACACACACCACACCACACCACATTCATACCTACCTACCTGTACCCTCTCCCTTCAGCGGCCCGGGTGTGTCTCAGTGGGAGAGCAATCGCCTAATATGAGCATGGCCCAGGATTGCATTCCCAGCACTAAAAGTAAAAATATATATTGACCACCACCTGGCATTCTGAACACATCTTTTCCCCAAGCAGGATTTTACAACAACATTCTTTGATCACGTGGAAATGACAAGAAAACTGTTTTGCACAGATCATCCAATTATTGACAGATTTGATTATCAAACATGAAAAAAGAATCCTATTTGTGCATATCACCATTGTCCTCACTTACACATGTGAGTGGGGACTGGACAGATGGCTCAGTGGTCAAGAGCACTGGCTGCCCTTGAAGAGGACCTGGGGTCAGTTCCCAGCACCCAGAGGGTGGCTCACAGCCATCTGGAACTCCATCCAGTTCCAGAGATCTGATGCCATCTTCTGACTTCCAAAGGTATCTGTGTGCAAATGGCCCACATAGGTCACATACACATAAAACAAATCTAAAAATGTCTAAAGGACTGGAGAGCTGGCTCAGAGGTTAAGAGCACTGGCTGTTCTTCCAGAGGTCCTGAGTTCAATTCCCAGCAACCACACTGTGGTTCACAACTATCTGTAATGAGATCTGGTGCCCTCTACTGGCCTGCAGGCATACATGCAGGCAGAACACTGTATGCATAATAAATAAATAAATCTTTAAAAAAATGTTTAAAAATAAATAAAAGAAGCATGTGAGTATCATGGAGCTGTGAGTTTGAGGTAGTAAATATAAATACTCCCAGATCCCAGTTATTAATTGAAAATTCAAACATTTTTGGCAACCAATGCTATGCTACTTACATTGGAGTGATGGGTTATTTTTTCTTTTCTTTCTTTCTTTTTTTTTTTTTTTAGCTTTTTGAGACAGGATTGTGTGTGTGTGTGTGTGTGTGTGTGTGTGTGTGTGTGTGTGTGTGTGTGTAGTCTTGGCTGTCATGGAATTGCTCTGTAGACCAGACTGGCTTTGAACTCACAGAGATCCTCCTGTCTCTGCCTTTCAAGTACTGAGATTAAGGGCATGTGCCACCACTGCTGGGCAACCACAACAACTCTTATCCACAGGCAAAAGGACGTGAATTGAACTAGGCATAGCTTAAGCACAGGATACCTCAAAGCCTGCCTCCACAGTGACACACTTCTCCCAACAAGGCCATACCTCCTAATAGTGCCACTCACTTTGGGGGCCATTTTCTTTCAAACCACCACAGGCCCCTTCCAAAGGGCACCCGGCCAGGAGCATGCTCTTACAAACTGACCCAGTGATAGCACATTCGAGCATCTCAGATTTACGGGCCAGGCTTTGACTTGCAGTATGTCAAGCCCCCGCCTGTCATCACATGTCAAGCTTGCTTTGGAGAAGGCCACCACCCCACCTCACCCCTGTGAGGTCATTCATTACCAGGAAAGGCATGTTTAGATGACATACCATCTCTTACCATTTCATCCAGCACTCCCTGGCTCTCTATCTACTTCTTCTGACACCTTATCCAAAGCTCTGGGGCCACCTGTTTGAGTTGGAATATCCTCAGGCAAGATGGGCGACTTACCAGAGGCACGGGGTCTCCCTGGGCTATAGCAAGAGATTTGAGACAAGTTGTCAAGAGAACGGCTCTTCCATGCTTTGGCGACAGCTCACTTCGGGCAATTTTGCTTGCCCCCCCCCCCCAAGAAGGGAGCAATTTTCAACCCCACCCCTAACGTTTGAAATAATAAACATTCAAAACTAGCAAAATACAGGAGCTAACCCTGTAGTTACTCGAGAGGGATTTTGTCCAAACCACAAAGGAAACTCCAATGTTATTTGATTTTCCTATCAAAAATTGAAGCTGGGTCTGGAAAGATGATTCAGCTGTTAAGAGCTCTGGCTGCTCTCTCAGAAGACTCAGTTTGGGTTCCAGCACCCACACGGAAGCTCACAACCATCTGTAACTCCGGTTCCAGGGGATCCCATGCTCTCATCTGACCATCATGGGCACTGTATGCATATAGTACACAGACATACACGCTGGCAAAATACCCATACACACACACACACACACACACACAGTGGAAGCTGCTAGCTAGGCATGGGGGTAATGGTCTGTAATCTGTAATTCCAGCCCCTGAGAAGCAGAAGAAGAAGGATCAGGATTCAAATTCATCCTTGGGTGTAGTGTGAGTTTGAGGGTAGCCTGGGCTACATGAGCCAAGGCTCAAAAAAAAAGTGTGTGTGTGTGCGTGTGTGTGTGTGTGTGTACGTGTGTGTGTGTGTGTGCAGAGAGAGACAGGGCAGGGCTAGAGAAATGGCTCAATGTGTTGCAGAATATTTGTTTACATGTGTGAAGGTGTGTCACTGTGATTGGTTTAATAAGGAGCCGAATGGCCAATAGCTAGGCAGGAGAGAAAGGCAGGATTTCCGGGGAGGAAGAGGAGGAGGAATCGAGACACACAGATTGCACCAGGAGATGCCAACAAGACACCAAGGGAGTCAGACAGACAGAATGAAAGCAAGGTTAAAAGCCATATGATAAATTGTAAATCAATAGAAGCAGGTTAATCTAAGTTATAAGAGCTAGTGGGTAAGCCTAAGCTAAGACTGAGCTTTCATAATTAATAAGAAGTCTCCATGTTGTTATTTGTGAGCTGGCGGTCCTGATGAGAAAGTCTGCAACATCAGTGGTCAAGAGCCTCTTGAAGGGGACTGGAGTTTGGTTTTCAGCACCCATATCAGGCAGTTCACAACTTCTGGTAACTTCAGCTCCAGGGGATCTGATGCCCTCTTCTGGCCCTCTCTCTCTCTCTCTCTCTCTCTCTCTCTCTCTCTCTCTCTCTCTCTCTCTCTCTCTCTCTCTCTCTCTCTCACACACACACACACACACACACAATCTTGAAGAAGGGGACGGGGGGAGGGGCTGCAGGTTGGAGCTCAGTGAGCGAGTCTCGCCCAGTGGGCCAGTTCTGCTGGCCTCTTCACATCTTGCCGTTGGACTCTCAAGTTTTGAGACCTGTGAGCAAATCAGTATCTGATTACATCTCTGTGGTCCCTGGTATGTTGCTATGGCAGCCTGAGGAGACGCAGGCAGTGAGCTTCCCAGAGTGAGGAGCAAGCCTGTGGTCACAAAGCATGGTGCACAGTCTGCAGCTTAATTCCAGAGAGCTCGCTGGAGCAACCCCGTCCTTTTCCCCAGAAAGGCTGCTGATGACACCTGTCCCCTGCCCTGGGCAGCTCTGCACACGTTCGGGGCGCTCTGGGTGGTATATCCCTGTCGAAACAGACTCTCTGTTCTTTGAGGCAGGCCGAGTAGGAACAGGAGTCGGAAGGGCCAGTTCAGATCTGAGATCCTGTCCAGCCATGCCTCCGAGTGCCTTTATCTTCCTGAGCGTCAGCTTCCTCATCTACAACTGGGGCTAAGAAGGCCCAGTTCTCAGGGATGCCAGGCCCACTACACCCTTTAGCTGAAAGTAACATAGACTTAAATACTAAATAGATTTTTAAAAAGATTTATTTATTTTATGTATGTATATGAGTGCTCTATCTGCATCTGTACCTTTATGCCAGAAGAGAGCATCAGACCCCACTATATATGGTTGTGAGCCACCATGTGATTGCTGGGAATTGAACTCAGGACCTCTGGAAGGGCAGGCAGTGAACAGACTATCCCTTTAAACCAGTGTTTCTCAACCTTCCTAATGCTGCGACCCTTTAATACAGTTCCACATGTTAATGGTGACCCCAACCATAAAATCATTTCACTCCTGCTTCATAACTGTAACTTTGCTACTATTATGAATTGTAATGTAAATATCTGGTATGCAGGATCTCTGATACAGGACCCCCAAAGGGTCGCAACCCACAGGTTGAGAACCAGTGAGATGGCTCTCTGGGTAAAGGTGCTTGCTTCCCATCCCCAACCACTTAACTTCAATTCCCATAACCCACATAGTGGGAGGAGAGAAACAGTCCTTGAAAGTTGTCCGACCTCTACACACACTTCCCGTGCCCCCCCCCCCCAACAAATAAATGTAATAAAAAATTTTTCAAAATTAATATGGGGTCATTGAGGTGGTTCAGCAGGTAAAGGTGCTCAGTCTGGAAACCTGAGCTCAATCCTGGAAAACCACACAGAGGTAGAAGGAGAGAACACACTCCTAAAGGTGTCCTCTGACCTCCACATACACAATACACACTTTCACACACCATTAAATAAATACAATTACTTAGAAATTAATGTGATGAGAGTCATTCTTTAGATATCATCTCCCCCCTTTTGGGATGGATTCATGTAGAATCAAATTCACAACAAAGCCAAGGATGACCTTGAATTCCCGATCTCAACTTCCAGAGTGCTGGGGTTACAGGTGTGTGCCACTGTGCCTGGCCTTCGCTTTGTTGGGGAAGGTCCCCCTGAGCTTCTTGCACTTTACTAATCAAGTTACAGCCTCAGCCCCTCAGCTAAGTTAAAAAAAAATCAGTAAGACTCCTGTCTTCCTGTGGAAACTGACAGAGATCTTTTCCATCTTAGAAATATTAAAACATATCAAGAGAATGCAAGTGAGTGACCTGATCACATTTCCTCAGGGGAGAGACTGTGCAGGTGCCTCTGGGGCGTGTATGTGTGTGTGTGTGTGTGTGTGTACATGTGTGCACGTGTGAACTCCATTAAGCGCTGATAGGCAGGATACCCTAATCTCCTGGAGACAGTTAATGGATGACTACAGTGTTCCCCGAAAGACAGTAGGATTTTAATGACTTGTGAACGGAAAGTGCCGATTTATGGGCTGGGTAAAAAAAATGCTTATTCAGAAGTAAAGTTAGGGGTCGCTAACACCGGGGATAATTATAGCCATTTGTCACATGTGAAAGGTTGTGTGTGTGTACATGTGCGTATGTGTGTGTGAACACGAGCATGTACAGGGGCCAGAGGTCGACATCAGGTATCTTCTTCCGGTTCTTATCTTTTCAGATGAGTCACTGGACCTGGGGCTATGCATTTGGCTACTCTGGCTGGCCTGCGCACATCGTGGATCGGCCTGTTTCTTATAGGATTATAGGCGGGGCCTGTCTGTACCCGGTGTTTACATGGGTGCTGGGGATATGAACTCCGGTCCTCAGGAATGTGTGGGGCGAGTGCTTTACTGACTGAGCTGCCTTCTTGAAGCTGGGGCTGGAGAGCAGAGCGGACAGTGCAGGAGAAAGGATCCTGGGGACACGGAGAAGGCCTGCAGGATGGCCCAGGGCAGGGCATGCAGGAGTGACAGACCCCTTGTGAACCTCCTTGTGCATTAGCGAGTCCCCCACCCCCCAGAGCAAGCACCACCGCTGTTTACCCAGAGAGCGATCAATCACACGGTGGGAATGCAGAGTGGAACCCAGAGCTGGAGACAAAAACCGGACACATCCTCCATCTGAGGAACATGGGGGCTCTGGGGCAGGGGCTTCTTCTTTGCTTGGTTGGTTGGGTTTTTGGTACCAGGGTCTTGCTAGGTAGCTGTGTTAGTCAACAGAATGAGTATGTATTCAAAAAGGGGGTGTATTCAACTGTCTTACACAATACCGTCTAAGACCCCCCAACAATGCCTGTCTCCTACTGAAGAGGCCGAGAACACCTTAGCTGCTCGGTGCACATGGCTGGATGCCTCAGCAGGCCCTGGAGGCCTGGAGGACTCCTGGAGAGTCACTGGTCTCCGGCACACACTGGATGACTCAAGTCGTCAAGAACGACAGAG